GCTGCGGATTTAGCCGTGGTGCTCTTTGAAACCGCCACACTGCGATCCGGCTACCAACTCACAGACACCAAAGCTTATGGAGACAGAATAGAGCGCATGTTGCGGCTCAGCATGAACGTAGATCTTGAAGAACAGGTACACACACAGTCGAGTGCTGGTAATACGAAAAAGATACTCGATTGAAGCATGGCTCAATATCCTGTTGCTGTGTCCACAGGTAGAGGAAGAGCAAGAAGAGGAACCAGAAGAACCGACAGAAGAAGCAGAGGATGAGGAGGAGGTCCAGGCAGATGAGGAGGCAGAAGATGAAACTGTGAGTGTGGAAACTGTCACTTACTCACCCTCAAGTTGTTCCAAACCCACGTTTCTTTCGTAAAATGCAAAAGGAGAATTTAAGAGGTTTGAAACAACATGAGGGCAAGAAATGACGGCTGAACTGCCATTTTGAAAGTTCCCTATATCTTAATGTGTGATAACATGAATGGATTTCTCTGTTTCAGGATACCACAGACAAAGATGAGTTGTAAAGTTTAAATCTGGGAGGGACGGGTTATCGGACTGTGATGCAGAGTGAAGATGGCGATCTCAGCTGGTTATCTTTTCTCTGTGCCGGGTGGGTTAGGGGGATAGGAGCTGTTTTTTTTTTTTTTAAGGCGCTACGTTTGTGTTTGAAATTTCTTTTTTTTTTTTTCTTCTTTTTTTTACATTCCTCCATAATTGTAAATTTGTTAATATTTAACTGACCCAGTTGTGGAGTGCTGACTCCTGTCCACTGAACCATTAAATGTTTCCTGAAAAGGACCTTGTGTGCAATTGCAATCTTTTACCTTGTGTCTCCTTGTTTTACTCATTTTACAAACTCCTCAAAATAACAGGATTCCATTTCAGGTGTTTATTTCTTTCTTTTTTGTTTAGTAGCCTCAGTTCTTGGATTGATTTGTATCAAGTCAAAGTGATGGTTTAAATTTAAATATTACATTTAGTCATTTTGCAGACGCTTTTATCCAAAGCGACTTA